GAGAGAGAGAGAGAGAGAGAGAGAGAGAGAGAGAGATTGAGTTTATTTTGACTGCCTGTTTGACAGCAGTGACTCGCTAATGCTATATAGTATACGGTTGACCTGTTTGTGTTCTGTGTGCGTGTGACACGCCTCACAAGCTTCACTCGACATCTAAACGCCATTATCCAAACCTAATCCCTCCTTCATCCCTCCCTCATCCCTCTCTCATCTCTCTCTCATCCCTCCCTTATATCCCCTCATCCCTCCCTAAAATCCGACATCTCTCCCTCGTCCCTCATTCACGCACTCTGGTTGGGTGGGTGGATGGATGTTTGGATGAGTGGGGGATGGTTGGGTGGGTGGATGGATGTTTGGTCCATGAGTGGGGATGTTGGGTGGGGTGGCATGGATTGTTGGGCCATCGAGTGGGGATTGGTTGGGTGGGTGGCATGCCTTTTGGGATGAAGGGCGGGGTGAGTCCTGGTCGTGTGCGTGCTGGACATCTCTGGATTGTTGGATGAGTGGGGGGATGGGTTGGCGTGGTGGGTGGATGGATGTTTGGCATGAGTGGGTGAGATGGTTGGACGCTGTGGCGGATGGGATGTGGAGTTTTGGATGAGTGGGGGATGGATGTGTGGTATATCGCGATGTGCATGTTTCGGATGCAGTGGCTGTGTTGGATGTTGCGCGTGAGGTGGATGGGATGCTTTGATGAGCGTGGGGGAATGGTTGGGTGGGTGGCTCGGATTGATGGGTGGGAGGGTGGATGGGTGGGTGGAACGTTTGATAAGTCGGGGTGTTATGAAGGACCTGCGTCTCCCTGTGTGATCGTTTGAAAGGTTGGAGTTCGCATCGACTTACCGATGAAAGAACAATCAATTTAGGTATGAATGATGGGAACTGTGAATGATCGATCCACACTCGCACCCTCACCTTTTCGATTCGCCTTTCCCTTTCCTCATAATAAGTCTTTTACTTTTTACTTTCCAGCCGCTTTTCTTCTTAATTGGACGCAATCCTAGACTTAATTAGATCTAAACTCGATTCGCTCTTACTCATGCTTTAGTTATATTCTCTTTCGTCGGCCACGCGCTGTCTCTGTGGTTCACCGCGCTGACAGCACTGAGCTTTGAGAGGTATACAGCGATCGTGAATCCGATGTCAACCCACCTGGGAAACCTATCACGCACCGTAAGTTCTGCTCTCCTCCTACAGAGAGGAGAGGGAAGGAAGAGAAAGGGGTTGGGTAGAGAGAGAGAGAGAATGGGGATAGAGAGAGAGACAGAAACGAGGCGGCAGACAGAGAGCGAGAGAGACGGAGCGAGAGAGAGAGAGAGAAACGAGAGAGATTCGAGAGAGCGAGGAGGGACGAGAGAGGGAGAGAGGACCGAAGAGAGAGAGAGTGAGAGCATCCAGTGTTCTGCTACACTCGCGCATAGCCCACCCCCATCCCCCACCCCACCCCAATGCCTCAACACAGCACGTGTAACATTGTCTTTTGGCACTGTTTCCATTGGAACGTAGCCAGCGAGGCTATAGACTGCGTTACGTTTGCCGCGCTTCTCACAGACTACGTCTACCCCCATTTCACAAAATGATCCTCCTAATCTGTCTACCCAACCCACGTCTTACCGATTTGCTCCTAATAGAATCAACCGTAGCCGCGCACTCTTTTGTGGCGATGCTCTGTCTAGCTAGACTATGGCTAAAACAACTACCCAGTCTGAGCTCCACTGACTGAATCTATTGTAACACGAGCGTTAGATATGAGTTCAGAAACACGGATGTTACAGCACGACTGACTCCCTCTTGTTTTACATTGCAGATGGCGACAGCTGGCGGCATGTGGGTGCTGTCCGTCATACTGGCAGTGCCGGACGGCTACTTCTCCTACGAGCACAACGAACCAATGCCCTCTGGCGGCAGCATTGCAGTCTGCGTGCCCTACCCGGGCGAGTGGATAGCGTGGTACCCGCGCGTGCACACTCTCGTCCGCTTCTTTCTTTTCTTTCTGGTTCCGCTAGGTGTCATCACCGTCACCTATAGTCTGATGGCGCACCACCTGGTGCAGAGTACGTACAACATGCCCGGGGAGAAAGCTCAGAGCTCCCAGCAAAGCGCAAATCAGGTACGTGCGTGCATGAGTGCGTGCGAGTGCGCGCGTATGAGCGTACGTGCGTGCATTAGTGCGTGCGAGAGAGGCGAGTGCGTGCGAGAGAGGCGAGTGCGTGCGTGCGCGAGAGGCGAGTGCGTGCGTGAGTGTGTGCGTGCGTACGTGGGTGGTGCAATAAAGGTGGGAGATAAAGACAGAGCGTTAAAGGGAGAAAGAGAGTGAGAGAGAGAGCGATCGCGAGAAAGAAAGAGAGAGAGAGAGAGAGAGAGAGAGGAGAGCGAAAAAGAGAGAGAGAGACGAGAGAAGGACCAGGACAGAAGCGACGACGCGAGACCGGAGAGAGAGATAAGAGATGCAAGAGGAGAGAGAAGAGAGAGAGATGAGCCGAGAGACGGAGAGAGAGAG